ATAAATGATACCTTCTAAAGGTCAATGACCTCTAGTCTCAGACTAGTTCCCACAGTGACACAGAGAATGAAGCTAGATTTGATATTTCGCAAATATAACCATTGCAATAGGATGCATCTTTTTCTCTCTGTGAATTTAATTTACCACTTGGCTGACTCACTAGTCTATTTTATTTTCGTGACACAAATGGCTAAATATGACATACCATACCATCAACCCACAATCATTTTTGGAATTAAAGTCTAAGGAAGGCTAAATTAAACCTAAACATATTTCCTCAAAAATGGTTTTGTTTCATCCCCAATGTGGTAATATTTCTTTTACTATCTTTCTAAACTATAAACGATAACTTAATCTTCCAAGTGTGATAGATATTTCTCTATAAGATTTATAAGTTAAAAACTTTACTGCACAAATTGAGAACTATAACCATGTAAAAAAATCAGTACTCTTTTCAATGAACTATGCTACAGAGCTTGCTGTTTATAAGGAAGTGAAAAGAAAATATCCATAACCAATTGTAAAAAGTGTTGCCAAATTTGGGAGCATTACCCTACTTAATCAAATTAGCTACATCCCTTTTCAGTAGCAAATAAAATCATAGCCTTATGTGGAGGGAAATGGGTCAGTATCAAATACCAGTTATTCTTGTGTGTCTACACAGATACTTCTGTTCTCACTTAATATTTCATTTGATGTTATTATTCATTTTTTGAAATGGCTGTTTCGGGGCTGGGGATTTAGCTCAGCAGCATAAGCACCTGCCTTGCAAGCAGGCAGTCCTGAATTCGATCCCCGGTACCGATAAAAAAATAAAAGTGATTATAGAAATAGCTGTTTCTTCTACCATGCACCTCAGAATAATAAAATAGCCTTATGGTTTTTCTTCTTGTTCATAAGGCTGACTATATTTAAAGCAGTTCTTTGAGGCAGGAGGAACTCAAAGGAAGGGTGGCTAAATTGAATTTGTAAGAGATTAGATAGTCTAACAGGTCAGAGTTTAGGTGTTCTGCAAAGGCTTGTTTGTTAAAGGTCAGTTCCACCCTGCAGAGCTATTCAGGGATGGCAGAACATTCAGGAGGTGGAGCCTGGTGGAGGAAGTAGGTCATTGGGGGCACATCCTTTAGGGGGTACTGAGGCCCTGTTCCCTTCCTCACTCCTCCTCCCTGCCCCATATGGCAGGCAGATTTGCTCTTCCTCCCTCGTTGTTCTTCCCAAAGTGATGGGGCCAAGTAATCATGGGCTGAAATCTTTGAAACTGTGAGTCCAAAGAACTCTTATTCCTTTTAAGTTGTTTTTTCCAAGGGCATTTTGTCTTAGTAAAGAAAAACTAACACAGATGGGGGTTGAATAAAAGCACTAGTCTTGGTACTTGTGTACTCAACCACTCCTCTAAAAGTCCCATAAAATAACACAAAAAAAGACATTTAGAAAACAAAATGAAGTCAGAGATCTTTAGATAATTCAAAGGGCTGCCAAAAAATAACACATGTTGGAGAATCACAAACGACACAACATGAATAATATCTAATGAATAAGAGACAAAACCTGAGGAAATCACAGTTCAAAAAACTTAAACTTGGGTGGATAAAAATTAACTGTAGGGCAGCTTCTCCTTGAGAGAGAGGAGTGATGGCAAGTTGATACTCAGGGTGAGCAACTGGGAAGTCAGATCCCTTCATCCTCCTCCTCATATTGGGCTAACAAGTAAGAAGCAGTAGTGGTACCTACAGGGCTGTGTTGCATGTTGGGCAGCAGAAACTAAAAGGAAGAGCGACAGCAATGCCCCAGTGTTGAGAGGTGGGAAGCCTCACAGAAAGATGACAAGTAGTTATGGATTTAGTAACTCATAGGCTTTTCTCAATGAGAGGATATTACCGGGCTTTTCAAGATACATTACAAACTATAATAATCAAAATAGCATCATATTGGCAGAAAAACAGACAAATGGGTCAATGGAATAGCATAGAGAACTTAGAAATAAATTTGTAGATTTACAACTATTTGATCTTTCACATATACCAAAAACACACCATGAGGAAAAAGCAAACTCTTTAGTAAAACTAGGTATCTATACAGGAATTAGTGAGACTGGACACTAATCTCTTCCCTTATTCAAAAACCAAATCAAAATGGATTAAATTCTTAAGTAGGTCTGGCCATAGTGAAGCAACCAAATTTTGAGCAAGAGAGTCCAAGATGCATCTCAGGTAGCTTATTAATATAAAGAAAGGATACTGTCAGAAATATGGAACTAGTAGTGGTGATATTAAAAGGATAAAGGGTCAGTCTGTTGACTAGATTGTGAATTGCCAAGTCCAATCACAAGCAATATAGTGATTTCAGTTAATTAGAACTTCAGAGTTCTCTGGGAGATAATAGAGGGCCTTGATGGATCTGCCATCACTGCCATTTGTTTATGTAGGATCATTTCTTCTGACACATGTCCATTTGCCATCTATGTGCCTGCCCAAGCAGTAATTTGGGATCGTTTGTATTCTTTCATCTGCCATACACTAAGCACAAAGACTTGATCAAGAGATCATTCTCCATTTATTCTATTGCTTAGCTCAAGTGCAAATGGCCTTTTCTGAACTATCATAAACTTTAATAGATTGACTCTTTTCTTCTTGTCTTGAATTGGATTCCATCCTGACATCTTTCAGTTATCAGGAGTTTGTTTGCTTTTCATCCCCTCTCTTTTTTCTTTCTATATGAGTCCTGGGAGATCTTGTCTACATTTTTGATTTAGATTTATGTCTAGTTGCTGAAGGTATGCTATGCTACCATATCCATCTGAACCTTTTCTTTAGAGATTCAGATCTGTATATTTAGCTGCTAATTGTTCAAACTCAATTTGACCAAAAATAATTCTTCTAACTGGTCTTTCTTCTGTATTTCTCATCTTAATAAGTAATATCACTTTCTACATAGCTTCTCAAGTCGTAAATCTGGTTATGATCTTGAATTTTCCATCTCTCTAATTCCCTAGGTCAATTAAATCATATTTAACTCTCTCTTTTAAATATGTTTTGGTTTTATTTCTTAGCACTACGCCCAGTTGTCCCTCCCTTGGTTGCAGTCCACCAGTCCCATCCAGATTTTTTTTGTGGGTCTATGTTGTCTTTCTGAAACTCATTTCTCATATCAGTAGTTCAGAGAGAATGACCTTTTTCTACATCTATAACTGCATTTTTCTGACCGAACTACTTCAGGGCCTTCTCTTGTTCCTATATTAAATTTCTATGTTTCATTAAAAAATTATAGTCTGGTTCCAGGTGGCTTCTAATATTCCTGCTTCCACTCTGATCTTTGGTTTTTTGAATATACGTTACTTTCTCTTATCCCTGAACCATCTTGGACCATGTTCCTTCTTCTTAAAGAACCCCGCACCCTTTTTTGCTTCATGTTTTGCCTTGCTGCTTGTTCTTCAGATCCTAATTTAATTTTCTGTCCCTCTAAGATGGTTTCAATAAACATCGAATTTAGTTAGAAGTTTTTCTCTTTCTTGATGCCTTGCTTGCTTATCAAACTCTGTTGATTTTTTTTTTATCATTAGCTTCCTGAGGACACACACTATGGCTAACTTGCTTATATTTTTATCACTAGATTACGGTACAGGTCTGGTGTAAAACAAATGTTCAGGAAGAATTTGACTTGTACTCTTTCTCAGTACCCTTACTGAGAATGTTCCCTTTTGTATCGCTTACTTGTAAACTGCTGCTCCAGAATCACAGGTTCTGGTATCCTTGAGGAGTCATAGAACACAGGTCCCTCTGACACATGACTCTCTTCTCCAATATCATCTTTTAACAATGAATTTCTTGTCAGTCAGTTTGCATATCAGACCTCTCTGATAGCAGGCTTTGTTTATTTTTCTACAAATATTGGCACCTATTACTTGGTATAGCACGTATGGCTTGCTAGCAGCAAGAGGGGGTCTAATAATAAAACTAAGCCTGATTTTCTTCTGAAGGCATACTTTTGGCTTAAAAGCACTTTGAAAGAATCGTTCTGTGCAATTTGTTCACTGGTAAGTGAGTGTAAAATATATTTTTGTTTCTTGAGTACTAGTTGTTAAGTTACAGATCTGTGGCTCTCTTGTTACACTGAAGCTTGTACCTCACCTATATTCTTTACATAGATGTGCTCAAGGTTCTATCACATGGAATGATCCATGTTCATACTCAAAGTATCTCAAAGAAATTTTTTGAAATAAATTCATAGCATCCTAAGTTTTTAAAACCAATTTGGAAAACATCATAATATGGCATCTTTGTAGATCTTTGAATATTTTTCAGGTTGTCCTTCAGCTCTGTGCAAAAACAAGATGGTGTAGACTTTTATAGGTTAACTATCAAAAGTAAGTGGATCAGTGTTTCTAAATCATAAGAAGTTTAGCACCCAGTGAGATTTTGGAAACCTCTAGGGGACTTTGTGATTACTAAAAGTGGGAGTGTTGGTGCTAACGAGCAATCTGGTGTGTGGAGAACAGGGATGCTGTTAAAATTCTTACCATGCACAGGACAGCCTCTTACACTGAAGCATTATCCAGTGCAATACATCTGTAGTATGAAATATTTCACTAGAATTACTTTCCTGTTTCAGGATGGAATACATATAAATCATTCAACCTACAGTTAGAAGACCAGAGTACATACTCAAGTGTTCTTATTCTTATATATTGAAATTTTTAAGTTTTAAAATATCTTAATCCTTGTCTCATAAGGTTATGATATAAATTAAACATTATAATGTATAGGAAAACCTTACATTATAATTATTTTAGTATCTGGCAATTACTAATTAGTTGCTCAATAATTACAAACAAGTTGAAGAACACAATGGGATGGGTTTAGTGGGTGGAGATGAATGGAAGTGACCCTGCATAGTTCCTGAGCGTATCATAGTTCTACCATATCATTTTGCATCGCCACTTCTGAGAATACTTTGGGGACCAGTAGACATTGACAGAACCCCTGGGAGATGCATACACGTACCTTTTGTTCTTTTCGCTCTACAGCTGCATTGCATTTTTCTATTCCTGACTTTCTCAAAAAATCTCTTAAATGGCCAAACAGCGTTGCAATTCCATATCCCATGTATGTGGTAACCAAAGCATAAAGAGGTGGTTCCTCGAAGGTTTCAATAGTCTTTGCATAAAGATGTGAGTTTCCATTTTGCTGAAAATACAAAAGAGAACCCAAGGTTAGCCATTTTCCATGACAAATTTACTATGGTACTTAACATTTTTTGCTTTCTATCCTTTGAGTTTTAAGGAATATACTTAAGATTGAAAAAGCTGGTTGGAAAAAACTGGAAACTGACTATTGAAGAGGATATCATAAGTGTGAATTTTGTTTGATAACCTATAATAAAACAATTGATTTAAGAAAAAAATTCTCAAAGATATTCAAACCATTAGATGAGACGGTAATGAGGAACAGAGCATTAGTAAGGTGCCAAAATGTAATCCCATAAATTACGGGAGTCATTACCTTAACCAGTTAATCAAAATATATCACAAATGTTGGGACAACCAGCCTTGAGGAACTTTTATTGTCTTGTAATAATCAATGAACAGCATTGTGTATGAAACACTTAACCAGAAATTACTTTAGCTCGTCTATATAGCTTCTGTTAAACAGAAATATAAAAACAGAGAAATCTAATAAATGACATCATGAAAAAACACCATAATCCACAATGTATCACTTTCTATCTGACATTTGGGTCTTTCAGAAAGTCCATCTTTATAAAAGAAAGGACAATTACAGAGGGATTAAAAGAAACTATAAGCAAATGTAGTATGTGTTTTCACTGGATTATTTAAAAAATTTTTTGTGAAAAAATGTGAAAAACATGTTTTGCAGTTATGCAAATGTGGATTGAAAATATATCTTACTAACAATAATTAATTTTTTAGGAGAGAAAGTAATACTCTACATAAAGTGATATTTTAATCCTTACAGTTCTTATACCGACATATTAAATGATGGAGTAATGAGCTGTAATTTTTCCTTCAAATTATTCAGACAAATTACATAGACATATGAAGATAATATGAGAAAATATTAGCTGTTGAATCTAGATGGAAGTCATATAGGTGTTATTATATTGCTTTTCTGCTGTTCTGCATATCCAATTCAATAAATATTTAAAAATTTTCTCTTTTTTTAAGGTATTAATGTTCCAATGGCAAGTAGACTTTTAGCATCAAATATTCTGATTATTGTTTAACTGATTTACATACAGCAGCTCTATCAATGTTTGCTCAGTGGATGAGTAAATAAATTATTGCTAATGCTGATATTTATTTAGTACATTTAATAAATTACTTAAAGCACAAACATTTATGCATTAGTTCATTATTTCTTTTAATCAGTATATGTCCCCTAGATTCTTCATTTCCAAAAACTGATTTATAAAAAGTGTTTTGATCACTTGGATTATGTAACTCTTAGTAATGTGTCAGAAAGCATTAAATATATACTAATATTTAATGCATTAATTTATTTACCAGATTTTTGTTGCTGTTATCAAAATACCTGACACTCACAATTTAAGAGAGAAGAGGTTTAATTTTGGCTCACAGTTCCAGAAGTTTCAGTCCATGATTGGTTGGTTCTAGAATCATCATGCCAGAAGGGACAGGTGGAACAAAGTTGCTTAATTCATGGTGAGAAACAGCACAGGGGAAGAGTGTCAGTAAGAGATGTCTCCTCCAGATGACATTCCTAGTGACCCCTCTACTGAGCCCCACATCCTAATAAGACATTCAGCCATTCAACTATGAACATCAGTGGTTGAATCCACTGATGAGTATAATGCCCCTGTTACCCAATCACTACTCCACTGTCTCTTGATCTGTTCAAATTGACAACTAAACATAGCTGTCACATTTAGCTTACAGATACATAGAGAGTGATGCACCAAAGTAGATCATGTTAATTAGAAATGTTGCTTTGGCTTTTTTCCTAGTCTTCATTATCACCACAACCAACACACTCTTCCAGAGCATGCTGCTCTCATTTCCTCTATATTGTATGGGTTGCAGTACTTTTTGAGGTCTTAATGTGATTTACTTCCCCAAAGTCTCCAAGTCACAAAATAGATGGAAAAAAATATGGTAGGTGAGTATTTTGCTATTAATATCATTTTGTTAAAAGAAAACTGCTGAAAACCACACTTAGCTCAGTGCATCACTGAGGTCAAACTGCCAACTTCTAGTTGGTTCTGCACCTCCGTTCTCCTTTTCACAGTGTGGCAGAGTAACAGCCACATGATTTTGACCAAATTTAGGACAAGATCTGGAGGACAGTTCTATTCCAGGATCAAAGTGTTACTTTACTGTAGAAAGCAGATAAGAGATAGCCACAGAAGACAGACTCAGAAAGAGTGAAGGCTAGAAATAGATCCCCTAAAATCCCCTGAGAAACTCAAATTCAAACTAGGAAGGTTGCAGAGACTTCATTCTGTGGTTGGAGGGCAGATTTGGTGGGCATGATCTTCAGAGGGGGTTGGATCTTTGAGTCCAGTAGTCTTCTTGTGCTGGTATGACACTATCTACACCCAGCAGACACTAGTCCTTGATTTACTGGAAGTAAAAATTGGGACTGCCTAAGTGTCTATACTAAAATCATAGATCTCTAAGTTAGTGAACTGTGATTCATGAGTGGTTCTTGGGGTCTATCAGTATCTAGTTTATACATGATTCTATTGTCATTACTAACTTCACCATTATGGCCAATGTGACATAGTTAATGCTATCAAATGGCTTTCTGTGTGACAATATCTGGATTGCCAGGGGGTCATGAACAATTCAGGGGCTCATTTGCAAAGAATCAGCTACAGAATCAAATAAGCTGCAATCTCCTCTCCCAAATAAATGGAAGTAGCTTAGTCATGGGACAGAAAAAAAGGCCAATAGTTAGCTACATCCAGAAGATGTCACTGCAAAGAGCTACCAGTATCGTTAAGCAGCAAACTTCAGCACAGAATATGAACAAACAAACAAACCAGAAATATGAGAAGACAAAACAATGGAATGCCTCCAAACATGCCCAGTGTCCCAAAGCTGATTCAAAAGGAATCATGGGAAAAGAAATAAAAAGCCAAAGCAGCAGAAATATCTGAAATAATAACAGTGCAAGTAACAAAAGAGATGAATTGGTGAATTCAGAAAAGACACAACTAAACAGTTAATGATCTTAATGAAACAAGTGATCTGCAAGTCTAGAAAAGACACTAATAAAACCTTAACATAGCTAAAGAAGGAGATGCAAAACATAAAATACCTAGCATAGAAAAGAATGGGAATCCATAAACAAGTTCCAAAGAAAAATCCAGGAACTTAAAAATATGACTGAAAGCATGGGCCAAATGTGAAGCAACCAACGTGAATTGTCAGACCGAGAAGTCAGAGCCAAAGTTAGTGATTAATTAATGAGAGATACTTTATAAGCAAGTGAACATGAAAAATCAATCCAATAGATGCTAGATGAGACAAAGAAGACTAAGAGTAAACGGAGTTAGTGAAAAATCAGAAAATAGCACAAAAGGCATAAATAAATCTGTTATGGAAGCAAAGCAGAAAAGTTTCCAAATACAGAAAAATAATTTAACACACAGATAAATGAGCAATATAGAAACTCATTTACCTGTGATCAGGAAAAAATTATTACATGTGATATAATAATTAATGTACCAAAGATCCAACACAAGACCAGGATATTAAAAGCTGTTAGAGAAAAAGCAATAATAGGAAACCCATCAGAATTAAAGACTTCTCAACACAAATTTTAAAGGGAAGGAGAAGTTAAAATAAAGCATTTCAAGCTCTAAAAGAAAACCATTTTCAACCTAAATGTATGTATCTTGCAACCAGAAGAAATAACTATCCTAGTTTCAGATAAAGTTTAGAGCAAAACTGATCATGAAAGACTAAGAAGGAAATTGCATGTTGGTTAGCAGAGATACTGAACAGGAAGAGATAACAGCTATAAACAAATCTACATTAAACTTCATAAGGCAAATACTATGAACATAAAATATTAGATAAACATCAATAAAAAATATAGTAAGTGACCTTAATACCCCACTATCACAAATAGATGTATCAACTAAACAAAAAATCAGCAAAGAAATTTTTTGTCTTTTTGAGACAGGGTCTCTCTATGCAGTTTCAGGCTAGCCTTGGACTCACTTTGTAGCCTAGGCTGGCCTCGAACTCCCAATGATCCTCCCACCTTAGCCTCCCAACTGCTGGGATTACAGGCGTGAGCCACCATGCCCGACTAAAGAAATATTAGAGTTGAACCAAAGCTTTAAATAACTAGACTTTGTAGATATATGTTTGGTGTTCCTGACAGCATTCAAATATGCTTTCTTTACAGCAGCATATGGAACTTCCTCCAAAAGAGACTACATACAAGCTTGTAAAGAATGGTTACATAAATGCAAAGAATCAATATTTTACTATGCATATTATCAGATCATAATGCAATGAAACTAGAAATCAACCACCAAAGAAACTATGGAAATTATGCAAACATATGGAAATCAACACATTCTTGAATAATTAATAGGTCACAAAAGAATTAAGACTGTTACTAGAGTTAAATGATACTGAGCTGGGTGTGGAGGCACACAAGCACCCAGGTGGCTAAGGCAGGAGAATCATTGCAAGTTTGAGACCAGCCTGGGCTACAATGAGAGCTCAAGTCCAGCCTGAACTGCATTAGCGAGACCCAGTCTCAAAAAGAGACACACACACGTACACACACACACACACACACACACACACACAAGAAAAAATAAAAGAAAGAAAAAAATAATACCAGCTAACATACCAGGTTTATAGGACAAAATGAAACAGTCCAATGTGAGAAGTTTATAACTATAATGCTCACATCAGAAAAAGAAGTCTCTCTTTATCCCCACTCTGGGGGAGAAAGGTGGGTAGAAACTCCTAGTTTAGCAACTGTTACTGGTTACCTGGTGTTCAAAGAAGCCTGTTTAGCATAGGGCTGCATGTAGACTTCCAGAACTTTTGTGTTTATAGGAATAAGTGAGCTCAAGACAAGAGAAAAGGGCATAGTGACTTTACCTTCCGTGGAAGTGGAAAGACTCATCCCCACTTCCTCCTGCCTGCCCTCTAGGGAAAGTCTTACTTCCAATATCA